TATATAATATTCTCTCTCAGACTGTCCTGTCAGTGTCACTGTACTGTAGTGTGTATATATAATATTCCTCTCAGACTGTCCTATCAGTGTCACTGTACTGTAGTGTGTCTATATAATATTCTCTCTCTCTCAGACTGTCCTATCAGTGTCACTGTACTGTGTCTATATAATATTCTCTCTCTCTCAGACTGTCCTATCAGCAGCTCCAGGCTGAGCTCAGTCTTGCAGTGCAGGAGAGGGAAGAGCTGAGACTGGAGCTCAGACGAACTCCAGAGCTCATCGAGGCAGCGCTGAGCCAGAGCACACAGCCCTGTGAGTGTGTCTGTGTTTCTGTGTCTGTCTGCCTGTCTGCCTGTGTGTCTGTGTGACACCTGTCTGTCTGCCTGTCTGTCTGTCTGTGTGACACCTGTCTGCCTGTCTGCCTGTCTGTCTGTCTGTGTGACGCCTGCCTGTGTGAAGCCTGTCTGCCTGTGTGTCTGTGTGACACCTGTCTGTCTGCCTGTCTGTCTGTCTGTGTGACACCTGTCTGCCTGTCTGTCTGTCTGTGTGACGCCTGCCTGTGTGAAGCCTGTCTGTCTCTCTGCCTGTCTGTCTGTGTGACACCTCCCTGTCTCTCTGCCTGTCTGTGTGAAGCCTGTCTCTCTCTCTGTCTCTCTGCCTGTCTGTGACGCCTGCCTGTCTCTCTGCCTGTCTGTGTGAAGCCTCTCTCTCTCTCTGTCTCTCTGCCTGTCTGTGTGACGCCTGCCTGTCTCTCTGCCTGTCTGTGTGAAGCCTGTCTCTCACTCTGTCTCTCTGCCTGTCTGTGTGAAGCCTGTCTCTCTCTCTGTCTCTCTGCCTGTCTCCCAGTGGAGGCCGAGTTGAGGCAGCTGCGCGCGGAGGCGGGTCAGAGGGCGCAGGCCGAGCGCAGGGCCGAGGCTGAGCTGCAGGAGGCGCAGTGCAGGCTGGAGGACCTGCAGGGGGCGCTGGAGAGCACCAGGGAGACCAGCGAGAGGCTGAGGCAGGAGCTGAGCAACCAGCGAGAGGAGAGCGAGAGAGGTGAGTCACCCCGCTGGTCCCCCTGCTGGTGA